CTAGGGCGGGTTAGTCTTTATTTTGCCAAATTAAATAAAACACTCGCACAAACGAAAACTAGTAATTTTAGCAACACTCCACTTAAATGCGGGTATTTTCACCAATAAATTATAAGCCTGGTAATTCTCAGGGAGGCGCCATTAGTGACTAACGAGACGCCTTTGTTTTGTGTACAACCCAAATCTTTGTTTTACTTTCCTTATCCAAGATACTTAGGCATCTGACATTTTCACCCGAGACTCCAGAAACGCACTGTGATTTATGTCTGTTGCACTATGTGGAGATTTGAGAGGTCCCTTGGGGACTCGGAACTGAGACTTCCCAGGGTTTCTGAGCTGCCCCTCGCGGCTCACGTCATGAAGGGATGGGTGGTGGGCGAAGCGTCACCCACCAGCGACACTTTCCACCCTGGATATCATCCGTGTTTGTGGTGCTGAGAGCACAGAAACTCTGTGTCAAACACGCGTGCAGTGTGCGTTTTCAACAACCTCATGACAGTTGGAACATGTGGGGTAGCACGTGTGGACAGGGGAAAGCTCTTTCAACCCCACCGGGTCTCTAAGCTGCTCTGGGTGACACGAGCCACACCTGGGGAGACGGAGTTAATAGGTGTCAAAGAGGTGGCCCTGTCACACCAGAACAGCAGCTCCAGAGGTAAAGGGCTGTCCTTGCTGTGTGCTGAGGCCCGTCCCTTCCCACAGTGACATAAAGCATGGGCCACCCCTGTGGATATGCCAGGGACACCTGGGAGACCGTCACAGGGACACGCAGGGATGTAGGAGTGGGCGCATCTCCATTTGCACGGACACATGCAGTGTACGACCCTCGCACACACACCTCTCTCTCTCTCTCTCTCTCTCTCTCTTTGGGGGGCATGGAGGAAAATCTCCCCGGGCTGTCTGGACCCCTGCCTTCAATCAGATGAGAGGGATGCCACAGCAGGTCCCCCCAGACCCTCCACGGCACTCGCAGTGCGGCGAGAGGGGCGGGGGGTCAGACTGCGATGGGCCCCAGCTGCATCAGCCCCTCCGCCCACCCGTCCCCACCCGAGTTTGTGATGGAGAGACCGTCAGCGAGGAGCAGGGACGTGTCCACGGCACACACAAGCAAGTGGCCCAGCCAGGAAAGCAGAACTAGGGGTGGCCCCAGGGTTTCTAACCTGAAAATATCCCTTCAGATTGGCTGGTGTTTTGTAGTCCCCTTTCAAGACCTAGGGAGAGAAAAGCAATGTCACCACAGTGGAAATGACCAAGGGGCACA